CCGCACGGCGGCAGGTCGGCGGGAGGGCGGGCGGGAGCTGCACCGCGGCGCTGTTCCTCAAGGCGTTCGTGGACGGCCTCGAGCCCGCTGCGGGCCGCGAACCCGTGCGGTGGGCGCACCTCGACATCGCGGGCACTATGGAGGTTCGTCGGCGTCTTCTTGTGCGTGTGTGTGTGTGCGCGGTGCTGATGGGGATGCGCGGCAGACGACGCGGGGCCATGCGTATATGGGCAAGGGGCTCACCGGGCGGCCGACGAGGTGAGTGGGCACGCTGAGTGGTGTGCAGATGTGTGCGCGAAGCTGAGGCGGCGTGCAGGGCGCTGATCGAGCTCGTGCGGCAGTCTGCGCAGCAGAGTTCGTAGCCGCACACGGGTGCTGCGCGCCGTGTGCACAAGACTCGGGGGCCTGGACGGACGTGATGCTATGTATACGTATAATCCACGTACGTGGGCGCGGTTGCTGCGGGGCTGTGCCGACACTGACGATGCGGCCGCGTTCAGGCTAATCATGATGTGTTGCACGTTTTTGGGGGTCGTCGCTGTGTCGTATCGCCTTGGTGTGTCGGGAGCCATTGTTAAGCGTCAAAGGTATCGTAGCGATCCTCGCTCCTGGCACCTTGTCTTCGCCCGGTGGTGCTGGATGTCCTGAACCTCGGACCGCGCATGGCAAAGCCGGCGACCGAGCATCCGGCAACCCATCGTGTCTCAATACTTCCGAGATACGCCGCACCGTCGTCGCTGTGGTTCGTATGAGAAAAGAAAAGAAAAGAAAAGAAAAGAAAAGAAAAGAGTAGCCGAGCTTGGGCGGCCCATGTCGGCACGCACGCCTGATGGAGAGCAAGGTGCCAATCCTGCCAATCCGAGAGCCCATTGAGTGATGCCCTCCAGAGTGTCTCTGGCTCCCCGCACAGAACTGGCGCAGGATGCGGGCGCGGCGCGTGCGTGCTGCTTGGGCGGGGAGACGGGCAAGGATGTGTCGAACCGCGCCGCTGAGGGCGGCGTCTCAGTGCGGGCTGCGTGAGCAGGTTGTGGGGCGAGCACCCCCATTGGACTTTGGCGGGGTGCATGCCGGCTGCACGACTACGTCCACACCGCTGACGTTGTCCAGGTCCACGCCTGACTGACTGACTGACTGACTGACTGACTGACTGGCTGACTATGCGGGTCTTAGATCTCCCGGGTCTTTCTGTCGACGGAATTGTAGAAGCCGTGTGTGTGTGTGTGATGCTTGCTCCGCTTCGTGGATGTGGAATCTCGTACAGTCTCGGGTTGTGAATCCGCTCTGGTTACTTGTGAACCCTGCTCAGCTCGCGTCGTGGACATCAGGCTGCATGTTGTTGTTTGTCTCTCAGGTCCCTGGTAGTATATCGGTTAGTACACGCGCCTGTCATACTTCATGTCGGACGCGCGAAAGCGGGGTTCGACTCCCCGCCAGGGAGTTTTTTTGATCCCAGATATATATAGATCTACGACCGTTTACTTCTCCCTTCTTGTCAACGCAATATCCCATGTATAATGCTAATTCAAACTGGTTAAGACTGCAGGTCATGGATCACGATTACCAGCCATATATCCATTTCTGCATATAGCTAAAATGGCTGATCATTGACTGGCCTGTCCCAAGCGCAGGGAGCAATTTGGCTAGTAGAAGTCGGATCGCCCGCCTTGACTTCCCTGAAACTACAGGGACAGCGACCGGACTGAGTAGGACAACCTGCAACTCGGTAAATAGATAGCGCTGGCATCCTGGAATAAAGGGCGGTATATGCACATCCTCCCAGTCGCACGCTGTCCACCATGTCCCCGTCTACCTCTGGATTCACAAAGAATTTGAATCACTGTCCACAGTTCAGCGCTCGACGATACGACGGACACTCCACCTCCTCGTTTCGTCGCTCCGGCGCATACATTACGCCGCGGTCGAAGCCTCCAGCAACTTCCTGCTGTCTGCCTCGTTCTCCAGGCGGACACTCCGCATCTTCTCGAGCAGCGCGAGCCAAAAGTCGTCTTTCCCCGCGCGGTGCACGCGCTCCCGCTGCCACCGGATCATGCTCTCCAGTTCCAGCTTGGGGAACACGCCCGCGAGCAGATCCGCGACGCGGGCGACGGCCTTGTCCGAGTAGACGTGCGAGGCGTCCAGACACATGATCCGCTCGAGGCCGTGCGCGGAGAGCCCGTGGGGGTTGAGGGCGGGCGGGCGCGGCTCCTTCATGCAGCGCAGGTGCACCGTGCGCAGGAGCTTGCAGACGGACGCGACCTCGAGCAGGACCTGCAGCGACTCGTGTGGGCGGTCGCCCATGAAGATCGTGAACTCCTCGAGGCCCGGCCAGCTGAGGGCGACCCCGCGCAGGCCGACGACAGTCGCGCGCGACGGGACGTGCAGCGAGACGGCGCGGAGATGGCGCAGCGCGCGGAGGGGAGCGAAGATCCTCGCCATCGGGATCGAGTTGCGGTAGCAGGCGCCGAAAAACTCCAGCTCGCGCAGCCGCTGGAATCGCGCGGCGATGAGCTCTGAGAAGGTCAGCACCCAGTGCGGCCGCATGCTTTGTGGGAGGTCGCCGACAAGCACGTGTAAGGCTCGAAGCTCAGGCAGCTCGAAGGCCTGCAGGAAGCCGGTCACCTCGTTGTGGTTCGCCCAGATATGCAGAGTGCGCAAGGTTCGGAAATATCTGCGGGTGCTCCAATGGGGTATGTCTTCATCCAGCGAGAGCGTCTCAATAAACAGAGCCTCTAAGTTCGGAAGCGCTAAGAGTGCATTGACGAGTGCGTGGTCGATGGTATAGACTCTGAGATGGACGCTTTCAAGATGATTGAGCGCGCCAAGAAGCTGTGCCGCATATGCAGCGTCCCACCCCTTGCCCTGATCCACCTCACGCCAGCCTCTGGCCAGATCAATCCGGCGGATACGAGGCGAGGTATCGGTGAGCCCCTGCATGGCATCCAATAGTTCCCGCTTGAAATCACTTTCGCCGGGTTCGGGAAGCCAGCTGGGTGGACGAAGAACGAGGGATTGAAGGCCGAGGCCAGTCACGGCAGGGAAGACACTGCTCATGTCACCAGTGCCGGATATGATCCTGTCCCCGCTCCACTCCAAGCGCATCAACCTTGGGAACAGTGAGCCACCGAGCCGTTGCGCAATATATTGGATGACGGGCGCGCGAATGCCTCGTCGTTCTTCTCCGTCTATTGCTACCTCACGCACACGAACAGTGTATTGGCGAAGTCGGTCCAACTCGTTTGGGAGAATTTTATCCTCGACGAGCTAGAGATGGCGGTGTGAACGGCGTGTCGTTCAGAGAGGCGACAAACCACAGATAATTTGGGACACTCACGTATGTCCATTCACGTTCTTCTTCAAACCCCGGTGGAGCCGCCACAGTCCCGGGATACTGGATCGGACTGGGGACTGTTCTGAAAGCGGGGAGAATGCTAAGAGCGACGTGCTCTGAAGGGATCTCCCACCACAGAGCATTCAGCGAATGAAAAGAGAATGCCTTGTTGACGCGTGCGGTTCGAGCGAGGTCGCGCTTGAGATTGACCGTATCTATGAGGTGGGGACAGTAATCCTCGTCCCAGTGGTATCCTATGCGAAGATGTTGGAATATCTCTGCGAGTATGTCATCGCATTCCAGAGCACGGTGGGGAGCCATCGCGACTCAAAATCACAGTGGAAGGGACGGGGAGAGGATATGCTGTAGCTGTTAGGTATATTCTAGAGGAGGAATGTTTCAAAAACCATGCTCAGACGATCCTTTTATGCCGTTCTACGTTCTTTATCCAGTGCTGGTTTTTTGTTATGGTGGACTTTGCTATGGCAATAGATCTTTGCGGAGCGTGGCGTCGAGAGAGAGCCAAGAAGACGAGCGGGGTAAATGTATGTTTCGTCACGCCGAACGGGGGTCATCGGGCCGTAAGCGGAGTCAATACCAAATCACCGGCAGTCTCGGCTCTGAATCAGATCAGCCATCTCATCTCCTGCCGCGAAATGCCGCGTCCAAATGTCACTCTCACGCTTAAGAGACAAGAGCGCTGTTGCAATGCAGACAGCGGGGAGGGTACATATTATCACCTTCGGAATGTCACAGTGTCTCTTTGAGTACGTCCATTAATCCGACTACAATGCACATTCATAATACTTCATTCATAAGCCTCAGTACGTCCAACATGGATCAAATGAAAAATAGAACACGGAAGACTAAATAGTACAATAACAGGGTGAACTAAGGAACGGATTGTGGCCGCCGTAAAAATCATGCCAGATGTGTGACTAGGGATCAAAAAGGGGAAGTACTCGGGGTTCGTAGAGCTCTCCGTTGTTGATGTGAACTGAATGGCACGGAGAATACAGACGGTGTCGTGACCACAGATAACCTATACAAATTACAATGGATACAACAAAGCAGAGACCAAAGTGAAACGATAATGCTAGAGCTACATGTGTAAGATGAATCAACCACCATTCCTTTCCGCGTCCAATCACGACCGCAACCGACCCGCCTGCTTCCCCATCTCCTTCTCCGTTACAAGTTGCTCCATCGTAATGTCTTCCACAGGAGACTGCACAATGGCATACGTAGATCCCCACGTGCCAAAGTCGATTCTCGCCTGGACCTGGAACTTGCAACACTCGCGTCCTCTGAAGATTGCCATCGGCACAGGGACCCAGAAGCGCAGCGCCCACGAGCCGCCGGCACCAGTGTTAGACAGGTTGGACGGCAGGTACACCCAGCCAAGATCTGTGCAAATGCCCAGCGACGGGTCGAAGCGCTCCACGAGCTGGGACGGCGCGAGCATTTGGCCGGCAAACGCAGTGGAGTAGTCTGGCCGCATATCTGGCTCGCTCGCGTAGCTGGCATCGACCATCCACCACTCAATGTCCAAGTCATGAATAGGGCTTTCTCGCGGGGGCCCGGCGTACGGCTTGTTATCGGTGATGTAAATAACACCGGACCATGCATACACGTCGCTAGAGAACATGCGTCAATAATCCATAATCTCAGTTCGGAGAATACCACAGCTCACTCGAAATCGATGTCCCACATTGTGCAGTGTCGGTCCTTGGGTTTGATAGCGACATTGAAGCGGCATGAGGATAAGGAGGAGGTGCCAGCATCAAGCCAAGACGATCTGCAAGACTGCTTTCCTTTGTCCTCTGTGTCCTCGTCGAGGCCAGGAATTTCCTGAAGGTTGCCGATATCGAAAAGACAGGAGCCGTCCTGCCCCTCGACCGCCTCTCCATTGATCTCGGCATCCTCAACAATCGACGAAACAATGCTCCGGATAATATCTTCGTCGTTGTCCGATAACCGGCGCGAGAGCCGACCCTTGGCCCATTCCTCGCTGAGATCCTCCTCGACTTCAAGGACAGATACCGAAGACTCCGAAGTAGGAAATTCCACCGCAGCTTCCTGGCCATACGCTGACAAATCGCGGTATTTCCTCGCCCTCTTCAGGCCCTTTGTCTTGCGGGCGGGCTTCTCCGGCTCCTGTGCGGAGGGTTCAAAATCCAGCGCGGCTGCCTTCCTCTTCTCTTTCACCCTCTCCGACTTGCTTGACTCGCCGTGGTTGTGCGTCGCTGTGACCCCGAGGACTGGCGCCGGAGGCTTCACAAGGGAGGGCGGAGGAGGGCAGGCGCCCGATACCTTCCTTGTCCGCGGCGGGGCGGCCAGAACGCCCTTCACCGTGCGCACGCTATCTTGGCTGGTCGTGCGCCGTCGAGGCTCGCGGATGGTGGCGACTGACTCCGTCGACTCAGACGTTAGGCGGTGGCGAGGACGACCCGATCGAACGTCGTCCAAATTTGTGCTCTGACCGCTCTTGTCTCCGGAGGATTCTTGCAAATCGTGCCGACGTCTCTCGGGGTTGCGGCTGGGGAGCTTGGGCTTGGGCGCAATGAGCGTCCGAAGCTTCTGACCCATGGAGACGTTGCGGGAGTCCATCGCGGAGAGGCAAGAGGGGGGCAGAAAAATCGAGAACGATATCCGCTCAGCGGACTGCAGTCGGGAGTGAGAGAGAAGGAAGGTGGAGGCAGACGGTAATTTAAAGGCGCAGGCGAGGGCGGTAGGTGTGGCGGGATGCAGCGACGGCCACTTCGTCAAACTTGGACCAGCGAGAGCGGAAATTGGAATAAACGAGCGCAGTAAACGAGAGACGGTAGAATTTGATGCAGCCGATCACGGATTCCTGTGCATACTTATACGCGGGACAAAGCATGCCAAAGCAAGCGGTTGCAAAAGGACTTATCGGGGCAACTGATCTTGGCGGCGGCCACACCAAGAGAACAATAGCAGGGTCGATCAAATTCACGTGTGCAGCTCTTCCACTGTAGCCTCCTCCTGTGGCCGAGTATTTTCAAGCCCAGCCAAAGCGCAGTGAAGCAACACAGAGGTCTAGGCCATGGAGTCTTTACCGCAACCACCCGCATTTGTTCTTCTGCCGTGAATTTTGGGAGGCAAGAGAGGCATTTGGGCGATCAACTCATACAAGTCACGATCCGATGGGTTACATAGGAGTAAGGGAAGTTAGAGAGTCCTTGAGCCGAGTTGTGTAGTCTTGGGCACTACGCTTGCGTCTCGGGACAAGTCAGCTCTCCGCCTGAGCTTCTACACAATGGATTGCTCACTGCACAGGGAAGCCGCATTGCACTATTCCATCGGATCGGATTTCTTTCGGTCACCAGAAGGTCAACCAAGCTAAAACAGACGAGTCGCCCTATCGTATGCGTGAGCTTCCGTCCGGCGCCGACTCGGTCAACGCAGCAGTCAATGAAAATGGTCACTTTCACACAGCACACGACTTTACGGTGTAATAGTAGAGGATCGATATGATTGTGGTAGAGAAGGAGTCAGGAGCATGACATGGATATGAGATTCGACATGAGAGCGTGGATCTATACGATATCTGAAGGACAGTGTCACTAGGCAGAGCCTAGCAAACTGAAAATCATTTTTGGGAAGGCATCAGACAATAGAGTACACAACGTACCGTGTCAAAAATATCCATGTGCCAGTACGGCCACCCATCGCAGGCCACACCCAGATCGACACGAGCTCTTGCAAGAGTCTTCCAGTTTACCCCCGTGGTAGATAAGAATTCATATAAGAATTCGGCAATTTTGTGTAGACCCGTAGGTGCTTCCCATATACAAGGTGTGGCATTCTTGTGACAGCGATTGCGAGTCCTTTGATCTGGCTAGGGAACGACTATGACAGCAGAGGTCTGGCAAGAGGTGATGCGGGCAAGCATAGGAAAGTGTACCCCGATAGTCGAATCACGTCACGAATAAAATTGTGAGCCTTTGGCACGAGGTAGAGTGTGCCGATTAAAAGTTGCTGTCGAAGAGTTGTCGCAGTGCCCAAGGCCCCAGAGCGCGTGATGTGGGAGCATGACTACCGGTTCGGCGGTTGGGGATTAAAACACTTGCGAGTCTTGCCCTTCGTTTGGCCAGTGCGAGATCTCACAGCAGAAGAAAAATTGTCAGCAGGGTGTTGGAAGCAGCGCAGGAAGAATTCGAGGGCAAGCAGAATCCCCCGTGGCGTCGAAAATTGCTCAAGAGCTACGCGAAACAGCCGGCGAGACAAGCGTGTGGCTGGCTGGTCCCGGCGCATTGATGCCTTGCTCCCTCTTTGCGCGACATCATGCTGTTCCAACGACCATCATCATTACTTGCCTCGTTTCTGCTGTCGTTCTTGCTCTACAATTTCCGTCAAAGTTGTTTATAATGCTCAGGAGTCAAGGTACTGGCACTCGGAAAAAAACCACTTGGCTTACGGTTCAAAAATTGTCTGCTGCGACCTGGACTCTGCTGAATCTATGCGCAAAATTCTGCTGGTATAGGGATTCGTGCTCCTAGCTGGATTGTCTTCTTGTTTCTCAAGTTATCAAGGGCTCGCCCGATTTTTACTGTCGCCGCGGCGGCCTCATCCACAGTGGCAGCCAATCCCTCTGCTTCGTGCAGAAACGTGTAAATCAACCCCTCACGATCCTGGATGATTGTCCATCAGGGCACGAGGAAGTGCGATACTGTCGTCGACCAGGAGAGGGATTTGGAAGATAAATATGCGGGTGCGTCATGTGTGTCTTGCTTTCATTTTGGCTCTGGAGTGTCTGTCATGTTCACAACCGTTTCTTCGAGTACATCACAACGGTGGAGCCTCGCTCTGTCGTGCCCTTCCATAGTCGTGGTCTCAGGATATCGTCGCGCGACTGCGACCGTGCAGATCGCACAAGGCGTAGCTTGCATGTTCTTTTGCACAGGCTTACGGAGTTTCTGTTCACACATTTGCGATCGCTAGTCTTCAGGCTTGCGGTGAGGATTATTAGCAGTTTTTCAGTTCAGCGCTTTGCTTCGGAGATGCGTGGCTGGATCAACTCGCCTGTGTGCATTGGCGCTGCGCCAGCTTCGCGGCGGGTCACCCGTCACGTGTGACATGCGCGGCGGGTCACGTCACGCGACCCTAAAGGGAGCACGTTGTTGGCTAGCTCTCCGAGGCGAGACGAAGGGTCAGGGTGCCAACAGTGCGGGTCTAGAATTTTCATGGAGAAAATTTTTGTTCAGGTTAATACTGATGATGCGCTAATGACTGTTGCTATTCATGGAACCTGCATATTGTTTTGCTCCGTTGCGCTACAAGTTCGCCGTTGGGGAATGTTAATGAGCTCAAGAACGCCATAATTATCAGTGTTATGCCCACCGATTGTTATGGGCTCTTAGGAGAGTCATGCTTACCCTTCGGCGGATAGTATCATCTATGTGTATGATGTTCTGCCCTGCCATTCCTCCCTCACGGATATGGTGATTCAATTGTGTTTCTCACTCTTTCCGCTGTGGATACGGGAATGGCGATCCACGGGGTCCAGGCATGTTCAAACAGAAGCCAATATGACAAGATACGCAGTGAAGGTTTGCAGTCGGCGGCTGGAACGCGCCAACCTTAGCTGAATTTGTTCACACGTCTTCGCTTCTGCTCAACTTGCATCTCCTTTTTTATCGTTGCCGCCCTTTAAAATGAGCCCCAGCCTGGCTACTCTCTTTTCTATCCCTTCATTGCCTGTCCACACTACAGGCTCTCCAATCGGATAGTTCTCGACGCAAGCGACATCGGACGCGACTCACTTCATATCATCTTGCATACCTCCCTGATGCGCTGTCCTTCGTATCGTTCCCTCCATCTTCTGAGACATCACCCTTACCCTAGAGCTCTACGCCATGTCGACACTATGGACGTCGTGGACCGTGACCTTCGTCCCGCCGACTCTCCTGTTAGCTTTTCAACGCGCATTACAGATCAACCTCTTCGCATAGACTCGGTTGAAATGGGAGCGTCGCCGCCAGATATTGAGTTGGTGTGTTCGCTGTTATGGATTTTGGCTGGCTCATTCTCATACATTTTCCTGCTCACAGCGCCCTACTAAGAGGACGAGCCAAGACCAAAACACAGACGTATCGTTGCTTGACTTGGACGGCGACATATATGGAGATGAACAGCTCCCGGCGCGCATTAGAGCAACGATTGCTGAGTATCTTGGAGTGAGTCTTTTCCGTTGTTGGGTCGGACAAGCTTGAGTAATGTTTTACTTTAGCACGTTGTCGATGGTGTACGACGGTGGTCCTTCACCATACGCAATATCAAGGGATGGCGTTTTAAACTCATATGAAAATGTGCATCCAGAGACAAATATTTTAGTATTTGAATGAAAATGTCGGCTGGAGCACCGTGGAAAATCTACACTGTTATGTTCGTGGTTAATTGCTTGCTCTTGTATATAGGATTAGTATCAAGCACTGCATGCTGTTCTGGAAATTTTTAGTCGGATTGTTCATTGTTCATTGAGAAGGACTGGGATTATGAACTGAGGCTAGTGAGGTATAGCTGAAGTTGTAACATATTGGACGGTGCGTCAGTCAATGTATTCCTCGTTGTCCTGACACAATTCTGAAAAATGTTCCGACTCTTCTCAGGATGTGGAACTGTTGTGGCATCTTCTATGTCGCGGGAGAAGATATATACAAGATGAAACATTAGCAACATAGACCGCATATGTAGTCGCTCAAATTTGAATGAGGTGATGGCTACTCTCGAAATTCACTTGCTGAAAATAACACTCACGCCTGGTAAATAGGTGAGATAGTATATCAGCAACAATTCTATCGATAATGTAGCTATAACACCACAATCTTCTGAAGAAAGTGGCGTCGGTACAATTCTCAGTCTTCCGCCAGGGCATACCTTGACACATGATCGATTGCTCTTCGTGCCTGCGGCTGACACTGTAAATTCGTGCAGCTCGAGTGTAGCTTGTTGCTTTCCCTACAGTACACTCCAGGCATATGTGCTGAAACGACAGGAGCACTGAAAAGCCATGACGAAACGATTGCGTAGCTCGGACAACACCGCTTTACCTGTTATTTCGAATCGTAGCCCGGAGTACCAGTCAGAAGGTGACGGACCGGGCGTCCACTCCGCTCAGCAATGGCCCGTGAGCAAGGATGCCATGAGCGCTGCTCGTACCTTCCTCCAGGAATGGTACTTCTATCTTATTCATAATTTGCAACATGCTCACGATCGCGTCAGTGCATCAGCGCGTCAGCCTACCCTTCTTCTTCCCGACAAGGACGCCGACGGCCTATGCAGCGGCCTGATCTTATATCACACGCTTTGTGCGCTTGGCCTTCCACCCCAGCTCCTTACCGTACACTTTGTGGCCAAAGGGTCGAATGTGCATGCGCCCGACGAGCGTGCTCAGCTCGCTAGCTATCAGGCGAGATACCTCGTCCTCGTCGACCAGGGTAGCCGTCCAGGCCCTCCAATTGTGGACAGCGAAGAGGCGAAGGTGCTTATTGTAGATCATCACGCGAGCGACAGCTTTCCAGCAAATGCCCAAGTCCTCTCAGCCGCGGGCTGTGAACCTGTAGCAACATCGTCGACACTTGCATACCTCCTGTGTCGCCCACTAGTGGCCAGCGCGGACTCCGCTTCATCTGAGCTCAAGGAACGGCTTGAATATCTATGTGTGATGGGCACAATGGGCGACCTGGGTGCAGGATTCAAGTGGGAGGCGCCTTTCCCTGATATGCGAGTTTGCATGAAGCGCTGGACGAAGAAAGCGCTTGCAGAAGCTGTAAGCCTCCTGAACGCTCGTGAGTCTGCAGTATCTAGTCCTTTTTCTCATCGCTATCCCCGTGTCCGCGAATTAATCGGCGCACTCTTTGAGCACCACAATATGTCATGAGCAATGTTGATCTCTACAAATTGATACTCTGATCTTACTACCTGCCCCGTGCAGCGCGCAGGACAGCTCGATACGACGTGATTGCGGCATGGGACGCCCTCATGCACGCCTCTTCTCCGCGCGAACTCGTGTCATCGTCGGCGCCACTTATCAAACGGCTCCATGCCGCCCGCGACGAGGTCCGCAGGGAGGTAGAGCGGTGCACGCACACTGCGCCTATGTTCTCAGGTGATGGTCGCGTCGCTCTCATTCGCATCAGCAGCACAGCACAAGTGCATCCGGTAAGCAGTGCGCATGTCTTACATTCACGAATTTCAAGTTAAAATATGTCTACATGATACTAACGCCATCGTTCCTCACCGATCTCATAGCTCATCGCGACACGCTGGGCCGCAACCCTGAAGTCTGCACGTCTCGAGATGGTGATGTGTGCGAATGACGGGTACCTACCGGGAGAGGCAAAGACGAACTTCGCGTGCCGCATCGCGCGATGTGCGCTCACACGCGGGCAGACCGATGATGCAAGGGAAATCGACGTGATGGAGATGTTGAAGCAGTACGCCAGCCATGTTCTCGGCTTGCAAAGTGCAATGGGCGAAGATTTTGCACGAGGGCATCGGCAGGTAAGATGCACATTGTCTTCTGAAAGCTCGCAACCTCGTCCTTACAGTGGGTACGATTCCGTTTATGCTCGGAACGCACAGGCGAGTGGAGGGATTGTGATGACAGCGCATTTCGAGCGGCTGTGGAACGCGATGAAAGAGACGGAGCCAGAGATAAGGGAAGCAGGTGGGTGTCTTCCATATTTACTGTTCGATCTTAGCTCACAGCTCCATAGGCCCTTCTCAGAAGAAGCGGAAGGCGTGGCCGAGTCAGGGAAATACGCTCGAAAGTTGGCTGAGGAAAACATAGATCCTAGTATCTGCATGTATTGAGCGTGCGCTGCCCAATGATGGTTATATGTGGAGGCAGTTGACATCATTCAATAGAACGGCAGTTGTCTCGGGCAATCGTAACCTTACTCCAGGGGCTGGGAGTTTTGTTTCTCCTACATTGAACATGACGTTCAACTCGGCCACTAGCTCCAATCGATGTTGAAGAAGAAGCAGTGCGTTTCATGAGCCTGCTGAGGAGTCGAATAGTAGTGCTATCACGCAAATGCAGCCACACGGAAGTAGTCAGCTATTGAGAGATTGGGTGCTGGCCATTGGGTGTCTCTTCAGTTTGTAACTTTGAATCTGAGATTAGAGGCTGACGCCTGTCATTGATGACAACCATTCTCATACATTTTTTACTTCAGATTTTCCACCATCATCCTTTCTCACTGACCATCCATTATGCGTTGTTCACCATTCATCCTTTCTGCTGTTCTGATTGCATCGGCGTCTGCCATCCAACATATGTAAGTTTTTGAGCGGAATATCACTGATTGTACTTCTGACACGCCGCCGCAGTGACAATTCTATGCTACAGTGAGCCATTGTCTTGAAGTATTGACTATCTTTGATCTTATGAGACGCTTAGGGATGTCTCTGGGCAGTACAACCATCCAAGGTGTGCATTGTCAGCCGCTATGCAAAGATGTAAAATCACGTATTCGATGTCAGATGGGTGGGGCGTACCGAGGAAATTAACGACTTTCCTACGAACGTACTCCTTAAACCCATGAATACAAGAGATATGTGAGTTCGAGCACCATACCGGACACGTAGACCCGTTGTACATTCGTTTTCAGGTCCTACCTGAGAAACATGAACAAAGAACCCGTGAATCCTTCCAGGAGCTATAAAATTGGAAACCTGTATGTTTTGATTTTTATTAGTGCATTTAATTTGTCCTGATTCCTCTTAAACGTACAGAATGGCGAATGAAGCACGATCATTCTATGCGCGATCACCCGAACCTTTTGTCATCCCTCCAGGAGAGCGAGAAAATTGGTGAGCATACGAAGAGTTAGACTTTCCACGAGCCGAACTAATCAATAAGTAACGGCTTGTGCAGGGTCGTTCCTCCTGCCTGTCGCTACACCTCATGCAAACGACGTTTACAGGAAAAGCTGGACTAGCCGATGGTAATCGAAGAAAGTACTCGAGCGCATAGATACACACATCGACTTGGACGTAGAAGCACAGTGCTTGATTCAAGCAGCTGGTATTGGCTCGTGAAAGAGATAAATCTCCCAAATCGGACGGTGAGCTCATGGCCTTCCAGTAATATCTCCATCTGCACGATCTACTGTTTCGTGGATTTCTTGTACATTATCCACCAGGGGCTCATATCTACCCTATATATCCGCTTGACTGTCAGAAGGCCGTCCAGGGCCTGCGGATAAGGCAGATGATTCAGGCGCCTATCCAGCCTCCGGTGTGTGTCGATAGGTTCAATAGACTGTAAGGAGCCTCCGAGGAAGCAGCCCGGGGCACCACCCCCGATATTGGGCTTGCTCCTTGACGGTTTTTTTATCTAAATCTGCGGCGGCACGCACAGCGAACGAGGATGCAACAAAGGCACGGCAGCAGCCCTGGTCCCGCTACGCGGCGTATCCACATGAGTGCCCCCGTCGACTTTCGCAGGTCTCCATAGCTCGGATGCCCTGGTTCTCCTCGCTCAAGCTCAAGACTTAGCCCGTTTGCCTCCTCACCCGCTCGTGTCCGGGGCCATAAAAACTGCTCCCACACCAAACGCGCACCATCAAAGAGTGATGTAGAGGCAAATAGGTGCAGAATTAGCAAGTGTTACATATCGGAGGATTACCATACTCAACTAACTGGCTGGATAAGGGGTAAACGTAGATTTCCGCGGTGGGTAGCCCTTCTGAGTAATCTTTAGTGATTCAAGCACACTTTGTACTGTAATATCAAAACCCACCACAACCTTGATGCGCATGGTCAGCTTCTATGTCCATTCAGATGAGTTTGCTATGGTATATGTGGCCACAAAGCTACCATGCCCTAGCTGATGCGGTAAATGCTCAGTAAGCAGATTTTGTAGTTGTGGTTGGTGACGTTGACGCTCCGTGTGACAGCCACATTTTCTCGCCACCAATGGAAATTCTGCCATGGCAACATGAATGTGGCCAGGACTGGGGCTGACAGAGTGACACGCGCACTGCCACACACCCCTCCGCAGACATATAAGACGGCGTCCAGATTCATCCACTCTACAGCACACGAGTTTGTCTTTCCGTCCTCCTCCCGCTTCCTTCGTCATGTTCAGAGATTCTCAAGACAAGTCGTTCCGCACGAAGCTGCGTACAATGCTTACTGGGGAGTCAACTATCCCGGCCCCACCGAGGCCGCATATTTCGCACCCAACTCGTCTTGTGCCACGGCAAAAGCGGCCGTATCAGATGCTAAAAGCGGAAGATGGCGACGCTTCCCATGTCGTACATTATCATGGACAATATGCGCCTGAATTCATTATGCCTATGGAGATGCGAATACGTGCGCAACCCACCGCTTGGAATAGCACGCATACATCTGAAGACACAGACAACCCACCAAAGTCACGTCAGTCTGCTCGTCCCGCAAGAAACACCAACCAAGAATGGTGTGATTCATTACACTCGTTCAAAAGTGGGATCTCCAGCCTCTTCTGTCATTCTTTTGGGGCATTGTGGAGACAATTCGTTGTAGAGGAGTAGTTGGCTCAAATGAGGCCATGTATGTGCAGTCGTTTTGGTTGAAAATTCATTACGGAAATGACGTCAGCTTCCAGGTATTACGAGGACTCAAACTTTAGGGATAGAAGACAGAATGGGCTTCATACCTCGAACTTCTTGTCCTAAGGTTTTGTCTTGAATTTGTACAAAACCTTCGACTGAACGGTCTTAGTAGGGATACTATACTATTGGCGATGGTAACGAAATTGCATAAGGCTACCGATTGCGAATGATTTCCGAGACACATTAGCTGAATAGGCCTGAGGATATTTAGACTGTGATAGACTATCATGGTTTCATGTTCACACTTGAAAGACTGTAGATGATGGAGTAAAGGAGCTTTACTCGAGCGCGGTAACGAATGTCGATTACTCGGATGACTAAGCGATCGCGAAATCAACCATGATCGCCTTCACGCCAGTGCCAACTTAATTCTGAATACCATAGACTGAAGTCTCTACCGATTGATCTAGCAAACTCGGAACTGTACGAGGACACTCCTGTGTAGCGTAAAAACAACATGAGACACTTGTAGGTAAAGGTAGACCTGAACCCGTCGTCGGTTTCTGCAATACGGTATGTATGACTCGAATGCATGAAATTTGCAGCCATGTTCTGATGATCTTTATGGCAAGGACGCATACACGCGGCAACCATTTCCACTACTTATACATACAGAGGGAAGCCCGTTTTTCCTAACGTAGACGGGCTCTAGCACGCCAGCCAGTATGCCACCCCGTTCTTGGTCGCAATCTAGTCAGTCATGCGCTGATAATGAAATCCAGCAAACCATACAGCATTCACCATGGAATTTGAAGAAACCATATCATCGGAAGATCAGACGTTCTGTTCTCCTACCAAGCCGACAGGTCTTCTGGAGGGCACCTTTCCGAAGCCACTGTCATCTCCGGGGAAGCGCATAAAGGTCTTAATTCGCGATGCCACAAGCGAGGATCTTCCAGCACTAGTTGATATCTTCAACGAAGAAATTGCGACCTCTACCTGCACGTTCCGGATGAGACCAGTGGATATCGAAGATCGACGAGCATGGCTATCGGAACTCACAAAAGACGGATATCCCTGCCTGGTGGCTATACACGCCGATGATACTGGGAAAGAAACAACAATCGGGTGGTGCAACTTGTCACGGTATCGATATCAAGAAGCCTACAACGCGTGCGATTTCATCTTATCTCGATTAGAGTCTTCTAACTCAGAGCGCAGGACTGTAGAAATCAGCATGTATACCCATCGCGACTTCCGGGGTCGAAACATCGGATCGAAGCTGCTCAAAGCTATCTTGCTGGAAGCACAAAAGCGAAACTACAGGACCATTCTAGGTGAGCATTGTCACCGACTAGTCTCGAAATTAGAGCCCAGAGTTCAATTCAACTTTTGCAGCTATGGTCGCAGCCGATCCAGCATCGAGCGATCGCGAGAGGTTCTGGGTGCAGCGAGGCTTTGAACTACGAGGCACTCTGAGAGAACTTGGCTTCAAATTCGATCGGTGGGTTGATGTTGGAGTATACCAACTCATGCTTGAGGGTCTCGTTCACCGTACCAAGGACAATTGATATCCTTACTCCTATGTGAAAACGAACATATGGGTCCAAATGCACCATATATCCATGATAATCGAAGGTGCGTCGAGAAAACGATTTAGGATGTACGTGATTTTTGCAACGTTCTTTTGGGCTGTATTTGACCTTTCGGTATGCATTGGTCCCTTGCGCAAATAGAGCTTGCTGACGTTGACTATAACCATGGGGTCGACACGGAGCATGCGAGCGTAATACCTGCTGCGGGCAGCACTACCGCGGCATCTCCTTGGCGTGTTGGACAACCTCTAACCCTTCATAACGACCTTCAATCTCATATAATCCTCCGTATCGTCAGGATAGTTACTAGAGCAGTCGATAACGATACGAGCGATAGCTGCGACAGTAGGCCACCCGACGAGCCTATTGATAATGTCCTTTGGTGCGCTGTCTCTCCCGCATGAAACCTGGAGCATCGAACGCTGTAAGTCCTTTGGTTTTTCTTTATGGAAAAGAGGCAGGTATTCGGCAATTGAAGAAAAGGGTGGTCAGAGGATCGAAAGGATTCAAACATCCCGAAATGCGCTGAAGTGAGAGCGAAGAGATGAAAAATGCTTCGGTCTCGGTCTGCAATCGTCGAGTGAAGATATTTTGTAGAGGTATTTAGTGTTTCCGCATACATTCAGATGCATATATCCCTACGCCGTTCCTCACAAAAGAGCCCTCCCCTCCTGACCCCGCTTGCGTCAACGGGGCTCTTAGACAGGTATCAATATCACAGTTCAACCACCCGAGTAGAGGTCTGAATACGAAGACACAGCCCTGACTGCGCACTTACCGGCTCACCTGATTATGACGCATCTACTAATACAAACACTCTTCTCTAGCGGCCTTGGCTTGTTGCGGTATGCAACTGATTTCGTCATCTAGTGGTCTTGGGCATCACGGCACGAGAACCTGTGCGAAGCCGAAGTATCGAGATTCGAGAATAGGTTGTCAATTATGGACGCCAGCAGGTGGGGAGCCGAAAAGATGCAGTCCGCACGCAGGATGCGGAACTCCTTCAGGGTGCCCGACGACGACAAATAGGCCTCTCCCAGAGGGTGACTTGAGACATGAGGTACCCATAAGCTACACCTATATGTTGCGTACATGCAACCAAGCTCCTATCGTCTGGAACCTGAAGTTCAGCAAGCCCGTCAACGACCATATCATTGCATATCCGTTACACGGGTCTTTCTGTCGAGACGGTCGTGTCCGCTACGAATAATTGAAGAAGAAGCAGAACTGCGGACTGGGAGCTGCGATCTCAGCCAGACGCCATGATCAATCTTGGAGTCAAATGAGCGATCAAGGTTCTGCACGATGCCGGGCTTGTCTTGGGCAACTTCCGGTGTGTGATTTCATTTTGGCTGCGCAGATAAGCAAACTACTCTAAGTAGCTGTCCGATACCTTTCCTTCGTATCGGTGCTCAACACGTCGGGGATCAAATGGGCGGGAGGTGTGGACGCCCACAAACTCATCGAAGAGAAGCACGACCTGGTCATGTTGAATTTATTGTAGAGCGAATAAACTTGAAGCAATGCCCATTCTACGGCCGCGGTTGCCCTGCCCTCTAGGCTACTGTAGCGCAAATAAGTCAAACAATAATCTCAATTTGTCGTCGCGCATCTTACATTGAGCATAGGCCCTTGCACAATTGTAGGTCTAGGGTGTGGCCCACAGCGGGGCCAGGTCGACGATCCATCTCCTCATCAACATGCACAGCAGCATCCAGTAGGGCAATAGGAACTGCGGATTTGATTTGAGTGTCGACTTCGTTTTTTCGGGGCCAGTTCAAGTTCCGTACATTCGTTACAGCATCTCCCTGTCTGCACTGTTCGCTACCGCCTCATTCGTGACATCCCCATGGCATCACTCAAATGCGTCATGTACTGCTGCGGGACCGGTTCACGCACACTCTACACTGCCCCACCGAACGGTTCGAGCCAGAAAAAATACATGCCTTAACATACGTCGGATTACGGCTTATGCGCAGCCAAACGTTATCATAGCCAGTCCCCAAGAAAGCACGTTGAAGCGCCCAAGGATTTGACGGATACCGGTAAATAAAATGTCGTACCACTTCGGGTGACTCCATCGCTATTGGCAGATGACGACCCGGCTGAGGTGTGGCTCAGGCTATGCTAACGCGAAGCCTGGCATGCAGGGAATGCGCGCCGCCAAATGCCATCTTATGTCCGCGCGCGCTGGGAGGTTTTAAGCTGCGAGATAGGCATCTTCGAGGCCTCAGCCCTCCCAGCTCATTGGATCGCGCTGCCACTTAGAGAACCCAGAGCTTTGTTAACGTTCACCACACGAGTTCTACGAACGAGATGATGCTCACCCGCTCCAGCCCTCTTGTCTTCCTTGCTCTCGCTGTTCCTCTGGCCCTCACGACCGCCGCGCTCCCTCAGAACGGCGCAGACGAGTATCCCTGCATCGCCCTATGCGAGACGCAGGCTGCGGCGAACGCCGGATGCCTCAGCTAGTGAGTCTGTCTCTCGCGCCGACCGAGGATTGTCTTGACGCACGCATCTGCGTCCACAGCGAGGACCTGCCCTGCGTGTGCACGTCTAACGCGTACTGGTCCAACGCGCAGTCCTGCATGCAGACCAGCTGCTCGTCTCAGGCGCTGCAGCTCGCGCAAACTCTGCAACAAGACCAGTGCACATACAGTGAGTTGCGCTTACCGACTGGCAGGCCTGATCCCGTTTGAACCCCTCCCCCCCTGTTACAGTAAACTACGTCCCCGGCGGGTCCTCTGCGGTCTCGAGCGACGCCTCCGTCGTTCGTTCCGCCGCAAGCTCGGTGTTCTCGAGCCAGTCCTCCGCAATCTCCTCCGTAGTCGCAAGCCAGTCTGCATACTACTCCTCTGTCTCGTCTGCGCTGGCTGCCGCGGCGTCGTCGCTGTCCAGCTCGCTCTCCGTCGGCGCGGCTTCGGCTGCGGGGATACACCAGAGCACGACCACTTCAACCTCGACGTCAACCTCGGCGGGGGCGACGAAGACTGAGGCAGGAGCGAGCGGTGGGAACTCGAGTGCCGGAGTCGCCCTGAGGACGGATGGGATGGGCGCACTTGCCGGAGTGGTGGTGGCGGTGATGGGGATGGTTCTGGGGACTCGTCTTGTTCTGTGAAGTGTTGTCTTGCCGTTTCCCTACTATGTTGCTCTGTGAACTTCTGTTTTTGTCCGAACGCCTGTGAGACTAGTAGAGGAGGTAGAATACGGAGGCGCTCACCTGGTTTCATTGCCGAGTGAACAAGGAATATATGTGCTCTTGGAGTTTAGTAGCCTGAGCTACGCAGCAGACAGCGGTTGAAGTCGGATAAATTCTTATCGCCACAACTTCGTGTGGTAGCCAGACGAGTTGGACATCACCAACAATGCTCATAACGAGAAGTACGAGACAGGCACTGGCTTAGTGGATACCCGCGGTGCACTGGGAGACGAACGTGAACGCACTTCGTTCAAGTTGCTGAAGTACGTGGCCGGCAACCGCCGAAGAGACACTCTCCGAGTCAACTCCGATTTGTTCTCACCGTCTCTTGTCTTTTTTGTCGGCGATGAGGATAACTTGCTGCGCACTTCTGCCTTGCTTATGTGGGAGATGGCCATAAATTCGCAATGAATATCCGCTGTTCTCTTCTGTAACGCTGGCATATATCTTTGAAAATTCGAGTGGGGTTTGGACACAGATACTATCCCCAATGCCAGCAACCCCGCAGCTAATTCTCGCTAACGTTGTACATCTCGGGCGCACAGGGTCTTTCTGCATTTCTGCCAACTGTCCGAATCTCAGATGTCACGATAGATTCACCTTCGCTGAACAAGGTACATTGCTGCACGATGTGCCCAATCGACCGGTCCCGTTTTAATGTTCCGCGCGTAGCTCTTGCCGGGATCATGACTGAGCCGCGTGCACATGAATCCAGTTCATGAATCAACTCGTGGAAACCTTTCTAGACGTTTGCGCCTTCCCTGGACGTAACTTTGATCAAACTGGAAAGCGCGGATTCCATATGGCGCCAACGTGAGTATCTACTGCTATCTCCAGCTCAGAATAGGCGGATACCGCGTACAGCATTCGCCATTAGGTACTTGTTGCCATCGTCCTGGTCAGGAGACTTTTTGTGCATTGGAGTTTGTTCAGACTTAATGCATCTATTCGGTACACTCTGTTAGCTGGTGCATTGTTGCACAGAACACATATCATTCGTGCTCTTTTCTACGAGTTCCAAAACGAGTCCGCACCGCTCTTCATCAACAGCTAGTACATGATTGGGCGTGGTATTCTCGTCACTCCCGTGTTGATGCCGATGTGTCGTTTGTGGAGGGTATGTTCAACGTTTGTGTCCTGATCTTTGATTGATCTTCGTGTCAGGCATTTTCTGTATCCTGTAGAGGCCAGGTCATCCCTAAGGCCCAACCCAATTCTAGCCTTCATGGTATCGATCAGTGTTTTGCACATGTCTTACAACAGGACTCACGATTGCACAGGCTAGATTGCACAGAAGATAGACTCCGTTGCAGTTTTTGGTCTAATTGGGCCATCGATGGCAATGATCCAGGGAGGACAATGAGCACATTGGAAGTTCAGCTTGAGCGAGAGCAAGCAGGAGCCTGCCATCTCCAACCTGGATCTCGACATGAACACCACCACATCCCTTTCGTGGGCGTGATCGCGGAGCTCATTGCTGGGATTGCGTCTAACAATTGAATATTAAATTGAAGCCTGCATGATTTCACTCTTAATCCTGGTCAGCACACGGTACCTCGCTTGCGAGAGATTCAGATTATCGACCTGAGATCGTTGTTGGTCCCTTCTTCCACATCGTTATCTTTAATAATGCCGATTATTGTGATCGCCTGCCAGCGTGAACGAGTCCAAGGCTATGGCATGCGTTATCAACCATTACACACACGTCCATTATGCAAAGACGATGCCCGCTGACGAGAACAACATAGGATAGCGCAGCAAGACCTTGTGTCTGTCCTCACGGCTGACGAACATCATGGTGGCAAGATCCAATGTCTTATCTGGCGTCTCAGTGAGTTTTGTCTGTCTTATCATGGGGGCCTCGGACCCAGTGAGGTTTATATTGAACTCAACTTCTATATGTCGAGAGGCTTGTGGCGCGGCAAGCCCGCGCCGGGCTATCCGCGCCTGTTTGAGAATCTTGACTTCTCTGCTTCGTTGAAGGCCCTCAGAAACAGCATTGTAGTCATGGGATGCCCCACTTACACTACGCATTCCTTGGCTAACGGCAGCACGATGCTGTATTAAACAGCCGAGGAGCTGGCGTCGGGGCGCGGCGGATAGGATCCCTAAGGCTTACTCCTCGTCTGCAGTATCCTTCGTCGAGCTTGTGCTGAACGTCTACCATGTTGCTCTTGCGTTGGGGATTATTTCTGATATTCTTCTCTGTCGTTCTCGCGGAGCGATCGATTTATTCCACCCATGATCCTCGACATTCGCATGATCTGGAAACTGACACAACCTACTCGCTCAATGTCTCATCTTGTCCAGGTGAATTCGGTTACCTATCCCTGATGGTCTATGCCGACAAGTGCTTCCGTTTTGATAAAATGCTCCAGGCTATACAGTAACCTCTGTGGATGAATCAAACACTGGGCTCATCGCTAAATTGGACATTGCTGGAGCAGCTTGCAACGCATTTGGTCGTGACTACACAAATCTCACCGTTGAAGTAGTCTACGAATCTCAGAACAGGTGACTGGTACTGTTCTCCCTTTCCGTCCACTGAATGTGATCATTTCCTGCAGGCTTCACGTTCACATCTATGACACGGAGAACTCGCAGTTCACAATACCTGAGACAGTGATATCCCGCCCGCCAAAGCCTTCCGACAGCTTTACTGACAGTTCGGACCTTGTTTTCAACTATGACTCCTCTCCGTTTGCGTTTTGGATCACCCGTCGCTCCGATCCCGCCGCTGTTCCCCTGTTCGACACGCGACTAAGCTCACTGCCCCCTACGCCCATCCCACCTGTCATGGAAGGTGATCCGTCAACGGCACTCGATGGCTTTCCCCTCGTCTTTGAAGATCAGTATCTTCAGCTGACATCCTCGTTGCCCCTTGGTACTAACATCTATGGCTTGGGAGAAGCTGTATCAAGCAGCGGTTTTAGACGTGATGTTGGTACAAATGGCGGGATTGGGACGATTCAGACCATGTGGAATCGCGACGATCCTGATCCTGTCGACGAAAACATGTATGAACATTTCTTTGCGAATAGTTCGTCGTTCGTATTCAGCTGAATATGGCAATAGGTACGGGTCCCATCCAATATATCTAGAACATCGATACAATGAGACGACCCAAAAATCTCAATCGCATGGTGTGATATTGCTCAGGTATGTCGCAGTCTACTGCTTCTATCAAGTGTGCCACATTTATGATACCACCAGCTCTGCAGGGTCAGATATCCTGCTGTTGACGCCGCCGTCTTCGCCGGTGTCGCTCGTTCAGTACCGCCTGATTGGTGGAACGCTTGATTTCTACTTCTTCTCGGGGCCAACATCCCAGCAGGTGATCGAACAGTATGGTGTGATGATTGGCTTGCCAACGTGGCAACCTATGTTTGGTTTTGGATTCCATCTCTGTCGCTGGGGATTTCCGAACCTCACAGTGACTAGGGATCAGGTCATTAGGATGAGAGAAGCTAACATTCCTCTCGAAGGCAAGTCATATTAAAGGAGTGCTCAGGCGATGGACTCACTGGTTGACTGGTAGTAATGTGGAATGATGCGGACCTTTACCACGCTCAGCGGGACTTCACGTCGGATCCGGTATCTTATCCTGGATATGAGATGAGAATTTTCATTCGAGAGCTGGTAAGTTATAATCTTGGCTCCGGTTCATGAATGATCCCGCTTATGCTGTGCTTCTAATTAATATTCTTAACAATAGGCGGCAAATTATCAGCATTATATTGCAAATGTCGATGCAGCAATAGCTAAACAAGTCAATGCTACAGACATCGTTTGTTTTCCTTGCACTGGTGTTAATGGCGTGCTGATTGTCACTTAGTACGATCCATATACGAAGGGTGTTGAATTGTAAAATTACCTGTCTCGATCCAGGACTGCACGCACTAAAATGCACTGACTTAGAGACATATGGGTCAAGAATCCTGACGGTTCACAATTTATTGGAGAAGTCTGGCCCGGCTTCACAGTGTGTTTTTGCCGCTCAGATGTTGCCACCGATCTCACCATTAGATGCATCTCAGGTCTTCCCAGACTGGTTTGCAAACAATACACAGGCCTATTGGACGGAGGCTCTGAGGAACTGGTCTAATGGCGGAATTGAGTTTTCTGGAATCTGGCTAGATATGAACGAGGCCACTTCTTTCTGCAACAATTCATGGTTGGTAGCATGGGTTTCTTTTTCAGTCTAATATTGATGATTATTTCTGTATAGTGGGACGGGGGCTAATATGTCAGACCCGCCCCCGGTCCTCTTCCCTGGAAATCCCGGAGATCTCATTACTGCTTATCCTGAGGGGTGAGTCAGCTATTTCCATATAAAACAAAGTTCCAATGGGTTATGTGCCTTAGATATAATTCGACCATATGGGGACCCAGCGGTAACATGAGCATCAATGGAACCTTGACGTATGGCTCAGATGGGCCAAGCGTCAGCTCCTCTCTGACAAGGCGTGGAATCGGCGCGGAACATCAACCGGATGCTAATCTGAACGCCCCTCCATACGCAATTCATAACGGTAAGTCCAGATAGCGTATATCATGTGTATCGTAAAAACGACTGTGCTAATGTAGGATTTGGACCCCTTAACATTAAAACCATATCACCGAATGCCACTCACGCTGGAGGGTATGCGGAACTCGACGTTCACAATATGTATGGTCTCATGGAAGAAAAAACGACGCACATTGCGTTCAAGGATATCCGCGGCACGCGGCCGTTCCTCATCAGCCGTTCTACGTTCCCAAGTTCCGGAAAGTGGAGCGGGCACTGGCTCGGAGATAACTACAGCAAGTGGACCTATATGCACTATAACATCCAGGGCGCGTTGCAGTTTCAGATATTCCAGATTCCGATGGTTGGTGCAGACACGTGCGGATTCACGGGAAACACGGACGAGGAGCTGTGCAACCGCTGGATGCAGCTGTCGGCGTTCATGCCTTTCTATCGGAATCATAATGAGAGGGGTGCGATCCCACAGGAGCCATATCGCTGGGAGAGTGTAGCAAACGCGTCGCGCACAGCTATTGCCATACGCTACTCAATGCTGCCATACTGGGTGAGTGCTAACGACCTATCCCGTTACTATCCGTCCTCATTTTATCAACCCACAGTATACGCTATTCGCCAATGCATCGATGCGCGGATCCCCCACAGTACGCGCCCTCTTCTGGGAATTTCCCGACGAGCCCGAATTGTTTGCCGTTGATAGTCAATATATGGTCGGACACGATATTCTCGTGACTCCGGTTTTGACCCCAAACGTGACCTCAGTAGAAGGTACATCTTTGGTAATGCGTGTTTAGACAACCTCCATTGATCTCGTATCGGCACTATCTCAGGAATTTTTCCCGGTCGCGGAGAAGTGATCTGGCGCGACTGGTACACCCACGAAGTTATCGACGCAACCATCGGAGGAAACACGACGCTAGATGCGCCCCTTGGACATATCAACGTCCACGTCCGGGATGGCTCGGCGATCCTTTTGCATGGTCGGCCTGCGTACACAACCACAGAAACCCGTGCTGGACCCTATAACCTGCTTATCTCTTTGTCTGCGGACGGCGACGCCTTTGGCACTGCCTACGTCGACGATGGGGAGACCATTCCGCCGACGCCGAACATGACGTTGACCTTTGCTGCTGCTGAGAACACTCTAAACATTTCGAGCATAGGTGACTATTATCTGGCTCAGCCACTTGAAAACATCACGATCCTTGGCACTGCATCCCCCGTTTCAGTCTCCGCACATGTGGGTCACTCGGAGAGGAAGAACTTGGAATGGGAGTATGTCGAGCGACAGGAGAAGTTGGTGGTGTACAATGCGGGCCTGAACTTGAACCAAATAACTTCCATATTGTGGCAGTAAAAGTGCGGTTCATTCCATGAAATGCCATCATTTGATACAAATAGCCTCGTGTACGATGAATGTGTTTTTTGTTGTGGTACTTGCATGTCTTGTATTCTAGTGATGAACAGCCCATCTCTAAACTTCAAGCTCGGCATCTCAATATCTCGGCGATGATGATATCAGCGGCTGTCATGTAGATATTACTTGTTGCAACACAGGTCAAAGATCGGGTGACTTACCCTGTTCCGCTATCGCATACACAGTCGCTGATAGAGATTCAGCACATATGGCATGCACACATGTGCACACAAAACGTACCTAGCGGATGTGCCGCAAAATGCAGGGGTACAATCGAGAGGTCGACTACGCGGATGTTAGTGGTACCATACACCTATTCATAGCCCATCAGTGAACGAAGGACAAGTATGTCGAACCAAACGGCCTTCAATTCGGGATCAACGACGCCGCCATGTGCCCTGGGAACCATCTAACAGGTACTTGCAGTATCTATGTTGCGACATTGCGTAATTCAGAGCGCGGCTAGATGGACATGATGAGGACATACGAAATGCGGATCTACAATTTTCCCTTATAAAATCTGAGTCGTGCCCCGTCATCCCCTGATTTCAGGATTAGAAGAACAGTAAACATACCACGAATCTGCTGGTCCGTTTTAATGCCAGGTCCCGGGTTCGATTCCTCGACTTTGAAGCTCGTTAGGTGCACGTCACAAAGTGAGAAGGACATCATTCTTACCAATCATGTCGTTCCAAGGAGATTTTTTAGCAATTCCCCTTACGAATTTCACCATCTCCACCATGATATCAAGGTCTACGTGTAACCTAGAACGTTGTCCAAAATGCAGAACCAAAACAGATCGACTCACCAATAGACTCATTGAAGTAGCCACCATCGAATGTTGGGTCATCTTTGGGGTTAGCAGACCTGCAATGCTGTGGGACATATCTTAGAAAGTTGATCATAATTTCTACCGCTACCCACAATTGACCCGCGAGAAAAGCAATTATTGTTAATTACTAGCTGTGTTCTGTATCGCTTTCCGTCAAGAGGAGGATCTGAAATCAGAGCGATTTAGCATCCTTCAAGGAAATCAACTTTGTACTGACATACTCGGTGTCGACAAGTGGCCCAAAACACTAGCGAATTCGTGGCTTGCGGCACCGCCACGCATCCGCTCGAGCTGAATCTCGTACTGTTCGTGAAGGCCCGGACTATCTTTGTACGCGGCGTTGGAAAAATGAGTCTGCGCAACTTCCACCAATATATCCGCTTTGTCTGATATAAGTTGCAAAGGGGCAAGAGCAACGGGCGCAGCCCGTACAGAAGTATGCTTGGCTTGAGGTGCTCTGCGAGGCGATTTGAAGTACGTTGTATTTAAGTCTGGATTATAACTTACCCGTAGTGGAGTTGATCAACAGATAAGTCGGTGTTCCGCAGAAGATCAATGGTATCTGAGGATTTGCCGTCACGTAGTTCTTCAGAGTCTCAATAAGCCTCGATAAAGACAGGAATCAGAGAAATGAAACGCACCCCATGTCACACCCATCGATACATGGTCTTGGGCATTCTCCCCGACACCCGGAAGCTCTACCTTAACTGGTACACCAATGCTTTCCAGTACGTCCTTCCGGCCGATACCAGACAACTCGAGGATTTGTGGAGTCTTCAGCGCCCTGCATTGTGCAACAATTATGAATCAATTCGTCTGGCAGCAAGTTTGCATACTCACCCTGCCGATACAATGACTTCCCTGTGCGCATAAGCGGAGAATGTTTGACCAGTGTGGGTGAATTCCACCCCCGTTGCTGTTAAACTGCCCCCGGCACGTTTCTCAGGAATTATACGGCCCACCTCAGCGCCCACAAGGACATTGAGGTTCTTACGATCCCTATTTGGAAGATAGTAGGCCTGTGACAAGATCGATCAAGACGGTTTCTTAGATCTCAGCTCGCGCGACGCTAGGGCGGACGAGTGCTTATAGTAGTGGAGTATGAACGCGTGTTCGTCTCTGGGTCGCATGTATATCCAACGAAATGCACGCCGCGAGACTGATTGTAAGTGCCGAGTGAGTAGCTGGGTCGCTCTCTTCTACGACTTACTTACATTTCCACTCGTCTATACATAATGAGTCGTGATTACTCAGAACTGAAACAATTCTAGAAACACGCACTGGCCGAGAAGAAACAGGAAGCCCGGCTTTCAGGAATGTCTATCAATTTGGTAGCATCACCTCGTGAACGAGGATAGAGATAGTATACCTTCCAAACTTTCACCAGCGCTTCTTCCATGGTAGTCGGATATGTTATCTTTACTGGCCCTGATCGTAGTACTTAGCCACTATTGCGCGATGCGACAAGGTGGTCTAATTAGCAATACCTTCTACGCCCAACTTTACATTCTCGAAAATTGTATCATCGATGTCAGATGCTGAATAGCCAGGAATTGCGAATCTGTGTATATCAATTAACCGCCTCCCCCCACATACTAACACTATCTGCTTAAGAACTTACCCTTCGACTCGCTCCGAAGCCATCTGGTAATTTTTCCAGTTCCATCCCGGATTACCGAGTCTCTCGAAAGCTATTGGGGGCGATAAACATACCAATGAGCATCGTGCACACTTATAGTCTGACTCAAAGGCTTGCTCACCGTCAATCTCATCTGCAGGAGGCTTGAGCCACCCGAGGAAGTTGATTTGTGAACTTCCGCCAAGTCCCTTTCCTCTGAAGGTAGTGTATTACTAATCGAGACTTACTCGACCTTGGCGTAACAGACAGACCTCAACCAGCGTATTTGACGGCTGGCAGCGTTCTCTTGTTCTGTCTGTAAAAGCATCTATTGAACGGACTTGCCTATGATTGTAACAGAGCTAGCAATAGCGTACCGTTGTGTGAAACCAACATAAATCGGCATTTGTGAAGTTTGTGAGATACAGGCCCGGATCCACTGGGATACGGGCAGGGTCAATCTGGGCCTGGAGACGCACGAGGTCAAAATCACTCACAGACAGATGGATAGCCGATATTGGCTGCGCCTGCTTCCAGCACGAGCACCGAAATATTTGGGTCTTCGCTCAAGCGTGCAGCAAGGGTCAATCCCGCCGTCTAGTATGTTCCGCGCCGGATGATCAAAAGCGACCTTAGCAAAGATATGGGATTTATTCTTACCCCACCCCCTATAGACTGAGATCAGACACAGTATTTAGCCAGGATAGAGCTGCGAGAGCGCACCGCAGATGATGTAGTCGAATGTCCTGTTTACGACTTGATCAACCGTAGCCAGCATGATGGTTTTGTGGAAATCGGTGGATCAAGAGGCTATATCGACGCGTAGTGACTAGTCACTGGTGAGTATGTAGTAAGACAAGTTGGGTCGGCCTCGGCTGAACGACATCGTATGTTCAAATACTGCTCGCTTTTGGATGGCGCGCAACTCCGCAAGGTTTCATGAGGGTCTGGGGCAGGCCCATCGGGAATCGGGATTATGACATGTACCCTTCCTTTGAAGGAGAGATGTACATAATGATGGCGGGAGACGGAACACTGCCGCGGGAACTTGACGGGAAGGGTCCGCTGGTCTGAGACGCCCGACGCCATCAATGACATCACTTTCGTCAGAAGCGCTACGGCTTGTCTCTGGTCACATAGTTTGGTGAGGCTGGATGGATGAGATGCAAACTCTTTAAACGTGAAACTTAAGCTGATAGAGAGGGGGGTGATCCATAGGAATCCTGATGGCATGATTCGTGGGACTGAAACTTGGACAATGAGCCGGACAGTCGTATTGATGCTGATGTCGGTCATCTCCTGGACCACTTTCAATTATAACCCTGTGAACGAGACACGAGTCAAACTGAGTCAAACTGAGTGATTTGAGCGCAGAACCCTACCTACACCAGACGTTTAACACTATGTAGCCCAGATATGATGTCCGATATCAAACGAATGATTTGTCTTTCGGCTTGTAACCCAGCCTCGGTTATAGGAACTCTAGCGTAGTTGTAAATTCTGAAGCCGAGCGTCTGTGATGCACCATGTTGAGAACTAGGGAGAATTTTGTCGAAGCGCTCCAAACCAGCTTGATGGCGTGGAAACATATTTTGCATAAAAGCCTCGCCTTTGAACCAGGACTCCACGCGCAAGAAAATATTTGGAGCTTGAGAAGAGAAGCATGATCCAAGACGTCCGTCATCCACCCCAAGGCATCGAGCGCTGTTGTGATCATCAACTTGTGCAAGCTGTTGGCTGTTTAAAAGAAGGGAAGCGTCTACGAAACGTACGAAATCAAATTGACATATGCACTGGAAGAAACTGGCGCATATCTTCATGCCGGATACTCCTACCAGCTATAAATGAACATCTCCAAGCCGATTAGTAACCTGGCAGTCACAGTCAGCTCGGGAACAGACACGGGTTTCCCTGGACTTGCATGTAACCAACACGCATCCACAATTATATACGATGGCATATGTCAAATTGACGGCAATGGAAGTGACGACAAGAACCTCAATGACGCATCTTCCATGTTCTACCCTGATTCTTTCAGGCCAAGGTTTTCTTGATACATATAGGCAATTAAAACAAATCATGATCTATGATTTTGACCTGTTCGCAGATCAGAAAGGAGGGGGAGGGAAGATCAAGAATGAGTCTTCCAAAGTCCATCATAGCTGGAAATTTGACGATCTAGAGTTCGAGAGTAGTCACCGACGAGGACGTGAGCTTCATTTGCATGTTGATCATTGGGGGCTAGTTATGACAGTCCCATGTACTCCGACAGCTCACGAGATTCTTCAATCGAGGCAGCTGCAGAACCATGCGCATTACAAATGTCCCAAGGAGATTGATACTGTCCTCGATGACGGAGACGGTCCCGACCGCGCGAGCTAACCTGACATTCTACCTTAAATTCGTGGCCACAATGTCGATTAGTTAGATATCCACATTACATAGGAACGTGCGCATCTGAGAATGGGCAATGCACCAAAGGAACGAATAGCGAATGTCAGTTTTGCAAGGTGCTTCAGTAATGGCAGGATGGAATCAGCGTTGTGATCCTTATCGTGTGAACCCACACAACTAAACATGGACTGAGAGAGGATTAACCTGTTGGTTTGCAAACTCTTTCCCCGGACGGCCGCATGATAAACTGGAGTCAAGACAAGGCAGAAGTCATCTGTACGTCCAAGAGACGTGCCACGAGCTACAGATACGCACTCGATTCTGTTCCTCCGGTAACATGCATTTTAGATGCACTGCACTGTCAAGATCCGCTACGCATCTCGCGTTGGCATGCATAGGAATGTGGCTCGCTGGCAACCAGACATTCAATAGGCGGCACAGGAATAGTACTCCCGTCGTTTTCACGAGTCAATTGACGTGCACAGAGAGGGGGCTCCGTGAATAGTGACTGAACTTATCTGTAATGTGGAGATGAGCTGACCCGGACGATGGCAAAGACGATTAGATGTAGGCTATTGACTCCTGGAGTCGAGTCTGGGATATGGCAGATACAATAACTGGTGAACGAAGGTCATAAGCAATTATAGCGGCGGCTTGCATGAACACTGGCAGCTGGAAATAAAAGAGTGTGTCAAAGTCGATCAGAAAGTTGTGACATATTGTGACCCACTTCAAGTGCAAGTCAAATTCTCTCCGCGAATGTAAGCGCCCACAGCCACGTCGCGCTAGATCAGCTGCGTATTTTTGGTCCCCTTATCACCACTCGCTCTGAATTATGAAGCAGGCCTCAAGTGCGAGTTGTTCAAATTTCATGGTAAATCTCGTCCTCTGCTGTATGCAGAATGGCACTTAAAGCACAAAGACGCATCTGTTCCTTCGTCATTCAGTGTGCCGCTGGGTGATTTCCTGGTACGTGTATCTTTTGCCTGTAAGGAGTATAAATAACAAAGGAGCTGAGTATGCGTATTTTCCTGCAGTGCGCCAGCACTGATTTGCCCTCGTCTCTCAGCATGAACTTGGCTATGTCAGTATTCCAAAGACAAACCCACGTGAGAACGTCCACAGACGTAACGCCCACTTGACTAGATCTATTCCCTTTCGACACTGTAGCCACAGCGGCCAAGTCATCATACCAACGCCATTTTTGTCGACATGCCTTCCAATACACCTGACCTGTTCTGTTACGCTCCAGATTGCTGTTATCGGCACAATCCTGGAGCTCGTCGCTCCTGGGCATCATTTCGAACCATCGAAAGTCACGCTTCCCTTCTTCATTAACGTGCAGCATGTTTTGAATGCCCAGTGAGGATATCAGAATGAGCCCACCCGGCTGTTTACATATAAGCGCATTCGAAACCTTTACAGATATCCCACTCCTTCCAGCATACTGTGAGACCGCGAAGCCCTAGGCCGTAAGTTGGCTATCCGAAAGTGCTCGCAGTAACTGTTACTGATGATCATACTCTCCACAAGCATTCCATTCCACCGCACTACCCCAACGATGTGGCGACTGACGACTGTTGACAACCCTCTTAGCGCAAAGCTGTGGTTCAGCGACGGTCTTCCTATTACCAACACCATTCGTGGTGGGCAGGGCGAATCCTCCCGACTCATCGTTGAGGGGCAGGGCTTTGTTGACTTCAGCGAGTTCATTCTCCAATCGTACGTGTTCCTCGACGTAAATGGGTTGTTCATCTGCAGTCAAGACACACTCGGCGCAGACACCTTCGACATACGCGACAAGCGGAGCCCGTGGATCGATATCGCTCTTAGTCTTCCTGGCCAAGGCAGGTTCACCATCACCGTTGTGCAAACCGACACCGGCATCCACCTGAATGTCACTAGCCTAACCGGCATACTGAAGCCGCTCCCTACAGTCTCGGCATACGATGCAAACTTCCTCACCGAAATGATCGCCCAGAAGTACGTGCCGTACCAGAATATCCCCGATGCCCCCGGAAAGACAGAGGAAGAGATCAGAGAGCTTGGCACACGGCTCTTCCCCTTCACTCCATACAGCTTCGAGCTCGCGATGTCCGTGTACGACTGGACGACGGCGTCTTTCGCGCGGATAGTGTTCATGAAGATATTTCAGTACACTGCCATTCCAGAGACGCCTCTCCCGCTCGATGGGCCGAGTATTGCCGACTCCATCTGGGAGTCAAACTGGGGCAGCTACATCCCGCAGAGCCCAGACTACATGAACTCGTTCATGATGAAGCCAGCATCTACGCTAGCGGATGTGAAGGCCCAGCTCGAGAGCGTCACGCCTAAGCTGCACGAGTTCAGCAACGTCCAAAACCGCTTGCTGGCGGCTGCGATGCAGGCACTTCCGCGCACGTCCTTGATCGCGAAGCCGCGGCTCTTCAGCGGCCAGGTCGACATCTCCCAGCTCGGGATGGAGCGTTTTGGCATTGAGTTCCTGGAGTGTCCGCTGAACAAGGGGCCCGTGACGGAGTCGCTCGTGTTCGCTTTTGCGGACGCAATGGGGACGTACATCTCGCAGGGCCACGTCATCACGACGAAGATGGTGTGGAGTTTCACCGACTCACTGCAGGACGCGATGCACTATGAGAACGGTATCCTGCTGGTTGCAGACATCCCGGACGACAGTTCGTGGGTGTGGGAGACTGCCGCGCACATCACTCCACTGTCCGATGACTCTGCCAAGACCGAATACACCTTCGCCCCAGGGTCGCAGTTCAAGGTGCTGTCAACGGAGCAGGTAGTGATCAGCGAGAAGCAGATGGTGGTCATCAACCTACGGCCAGAACCTCTCACTCAAACCCCGTCTGCGGCGAGTCAAAGGGAGAGGCTGCAACCTACGCCTTTGGTCGCCGAGGAATTCAGGAAGGATGCAGGGACATATACGCCTGTCCTGGAGAAACGGATACAGTTAATCGACGAGAGAAAGGGAGTCATACCCGCAAGTTCCATGCGGCTTCCAGTCGCCTGTCCGGATGCGACTCACTTCAAGCTGGCCCATAAAACTCGCGGACGGCGGTGCAGATGCATTGATGCATTGGATAATATGGGATCTGATGGAGTCCAATCGACTTGACATAAATAGACACTGTCTTGATGTCGATAGTGGAAAGAGATACGCTATTCGAGTACGTGGCATGATCATGACAGGAACAGGACCTTAGCAGAAGTAACATGAAAGCAACACAGGTAGGATGAAGTGGGTTCAGGCATCGGATTCCGCTGGCAGTCTTGTTCAACTGTTAGAGGCGTTGGTCTTCTCCCTTCGGATGCGCCTCATCTCTTCAAGTAGTGCCAACCACATGTGCTTCTTCTCCCTCATCTCCGGAGATGGCTGCTTTAAGGCCGCGCTCGACAAGTCATTCAGCTCCAGCTTCGGGAACACAGACTCAAGCATAGTTGCCAGAGGTCCGATGCTCTCACTCGGGTAATCGCGTCCCGTGTGAGTGAACGTCACCCGTTCCAGATTATGGGATGAAAGACCATGTAGGTCTAGATCGTGTAGAGGTACGGAAGGTGGGGCCAAACAGTTCAGAGTTACTGTGCGCAACCGCGGACATGCGGACGCAACCTCGAGAAGGGTTTGTAGCGATTCGTGTGGAAGGAAGCCTCGAAATGTGGACTCCTCCATGCTGACTGTGACAATCAGTTCCTCCATGTCCAGTGTGAGCTCCTCTAAAGCTGGCCAGTGGAGGAAAATGCCATAAAGTCCAGTGTAAGAGGTGCGCGATCCCATACCCAGTTTAAGGGAGCGGAGCAGGTGCAAGCAGCACAGCGGAGAGAGGATACGTGTCACGGACATGGTGTCGCTTTTGAAAGAGCCGCAGTAGAATCCGGAGAGCACTAGGTCGTGCAGCGGTGACGCGCGGAATTTTGTTGCGATGAGTTCAACAAATTCAAGCATTTGATCTAGACGTATGCAGTCTTTTAGCGTGAAGATGCGGACATGCAGCACCTGGAGCGCAGGCCACTCGCAGCGTTGCAGGAGACTGGCTGCCTCGCCGAACTTAACTGTTACACGCATCGTATGCAGTTTGGAGAAGCGCCCACGGACTCCTTGAAATTGTGGACTATTGCTCGACCAGACCGTCTTTAATGAGAGATCTAACAGATTGGGTAGCGCCACGAGCGTATCAACAAGGGTTTCGTCCAATGCGAAAGTCTGAATCCGGAGACGTTCAAGATTGCGAAACGCGCTGATGAAGGGAGTGGCAAATGCAGAATCCCAACCCACACCTATGGTAGAAAAACCCCAATCTGAGTCTCTCACAAAGCAAACATCCGGACTCTCGGATAGCTCAATATGTTGAATACAGGGCGACCTGGTGGTAAGTGCTGGCGCGATGTTCAATAGCTGCCGGTGAAATTCATCGTCTTCAACCTCACTTAGAAAGCGGGATGGGCGTAGAGCCAAAATGCGGAGGTTTGTGCCGGCCATAGCTAACAAGACACGATCTATGTTTCCTGTGTTCTTGTATATTGTGGCTCCATTCCATTTGAGGCACATAAGACGTGGAAAGAGAGGCCCGCCAAGTCGTCCCGCGATGTACTCGATGACGGGAATGCGGATGTTCTCTCTCTCTTCCCCATCTATGCTTACTTCGCGCACGCGGTAAGCGTAAGTTCGAAGCCGCTCCAATTCGTGAGGGATAAGATCGCTATTGATAGACTTGATAGATGTGTTTGATGAGGATGAGTTTTAGGTCACAGAGAGCTACAGAAATTACTGAACACTCACATATACCCATTCAGTATTGTTCTGCATATCTGCAGACACGTCGAAATCTGTAGGATACTGTACACGAGCAGGGGTTGCCCTAAAGGCGGGCAGGACGTTGAGAGCTACGCGCTCAGAGGGGATCTCCCACCACAGTGCATTGAGTGCATGGGCCGAAAACATCTTGTTCACGCGTGCTGCGCGAGCGAGGTCGTGGTACACAGAACCTCCTCGCCTAGGATGACGCCACGGGCTCGGATCCCAGTGATAGCTTGTACGAAAATGTCGAAATATCTCTACGAGAATATCGTCGCTCTCGAGGGCATAGCGAGTCGCCATCCGGATAAAACACTCTCCGGAACTCAGAGGACTAGGATGGCGGTGTGCATCAAGTAAGTAGAAGAAGGGATCAAGACCGGGGCGCAACCAAGCGCCCAACAAACTAGTGTCACTCGGCGCTTATGCGAGTAATCGTGAGAACACGTTTCTTTCGTGCCATCTCCACATCTTATTCATCATCTCACTCCTGTTTTCAATAGCTGTGGATACCGCTTATCATCCACACTTCCAAACCAATCGTCTAGCTTTGCAGATGGCTATCTTTTCTCTAAAAACATTTAGTAGATATCTGCGAATAGCTAAATTCCTTTCCCTACAGACTCGCAGGTTCTTGTTCGCCTCCTGAGAGAGGTGTACTGGAACAAAGGCGTACTTTGAATTGCTGTTCATCATGACAACTGTGTGCATTGACCGCACTCATATGAGTTACCTCAGAGCCGATTCTCCGAGTCAGCAAAGCGGCAGGTCCACCGAATCGAAACACCTCTGCGACTACGTCTCGTACTTTTGGAGAACATTCGGCTGGAATACATCTATACGAAACTAGTATGACCTCCACTTTGAATGCCTACAGATCTTGCAGCTCTCCACCGCCAGGCCTTGTGATATAGTCCTTCCACAGCACGAAGCTGTCTCGTTTCATTCATGATGCAAGACACGGACAACGCTTGAACTTTGACGACGATCGCCTCTGCTTCCATGCTGGCATCGCTGCAACAAATATATGAGATTATGATATGAGCACGACTATGATCGACACTTCTCTGTGAGTCCCGTCGTATCCCACTTTCTCCGCAGTAGAGTCGATAAAACCTTGTTAGTAAGAAAAGTTTTGGTATGCGCCATCATGTCCCCTCGCAAATTCGTAATATTGGCCACCCATTGTCCTCATTATATCATGAGGCACTACGACGAGTTGCTCCTTCCTCTCGACATATTGGGTCAGGCTCGGATCCCGGACACCATATGATCCTCAACTGGTACAACGTTGCGGCACTAGGTTCTCTGTATAGCTCTGCAGAGCGTCTATAGAAAGGCTAAGTGAATAATCAATTCTGATCTTGTGTTTACCAGTGATCACCCGTTCCTCATACTCCTCCTGCTCTCCATCGGCGAACAATCGCGCATTGACGTCTGAAGTAATGTTGGAAACACGTTCCTGTCCTCACTCAAATTTGACTCACTTTTGTCGAAGATCTACATTACAGTCGCTTCGCCATCCATCTTCTGGGCTCCCAAAATGTTGCTAAAAAGTCCGGACTTGAGAGGCCAAAAAAGTGTCGATCGGCTCAAGCCCCGATCGATACAGGCGTATAAGCTGCACCTCTTGGGCTAGATCGCTGGACCATACCTCCTAGAGCCCCCATCTTTATCCGGAAGGCAGGTCATAAAGGGATACACGTCGCACATCGCCGCTCAACACGGCAACTGGAATATTATAACCACCATCGTTTTACCCTTCCTACACGCACTACTGAGCTTCTGGACAGTTGTGAGAACACGGGAAGTTGACTGTCGAAGGTCTTGAAAAATACTGAATGAATCGAGGGCAGCAGGTTATGCTTGTCCGTTTGCAGTCAGGATGTGAACACCGGGCAGGGTAGTTAAATCACAATCCGAGGATAAGAGAGGAACACTTTACATCCTCAATGCTACTCTGCTAGCTTGCATCTTTCCGCACCGAAATGCACGAAGTTCACGCCAATGACGGTCGAATGTGGGAGCAGAAACGAGTCCGGGCGACTACACGAGTCCATTGGTCTGATCGACTGGACATGGATCGGACATCTGCAGGCACTGGCCGAACCAGTTCGGACTGGTGTCTGGCCAATCATCGGTTTCACACCCATTTTCGCCGGATAGAATCAAGCATAGCCCCCCTCCGGGGGCCAATTTTGGTCGGGATGAGGACCAGGGATTCTCCCGGTCGATCTTCCGGCTTCGCGGGAACGAAGGTATGATCTCTAGAATGGGTATATATTACGAATGAACTTATATAGTCGGTCAAACTTAATCATACAACGGCTTCGCCAAATATATTCCCGTCACCTCTCCTCATAATCAGTCGAGCCCATCAAACAGCGCACGCGCAACTAGGGCGCGAAGATGGTGTTCCAAGTACTGATTGTCGCGATGGCCAAACCGCTCCTGTTGATGGTGGAAGTCTTCGTCGTCCTGATCACCGTCGGCGAGGTGGTGACTGTGGTCGCCGTGCCGTCCTGGCTCATCGCGTTGGGCCAGTGGCATCAGCATCTGGGTGGGATCCTTTACAGGGCTCGACTCCTCCTTCACCTGCTTTTCAAACTTTGGGATAATGGCGGTCAAATGGGCATTGTTGGCCTGGCGCGCCTTGGAATGGGCATCGTGGGCCTTGCCCTGGCGCGCACCTGTGTAGGCCTTGGTTGCGGACTTCACTGCATCCGTCATGCCCTTCGACCATCCCTCTTCGCCACCTACTTTCGCACCTCTCATGAAAGCGGTCCTGAAGACGCGGCGGGCGAGGTGCATGTCCAAAGTGGGTTCACGTGCGTATATATCGTCATAGGACGCAGGAATAGCACTATAAGCAGAGCCATCGAGGTTAAGTTTCTACCCATTGTCATGGAATGGAAGCTGTGTACCTGACCAAGATTGGAGCAGCGGCAGCGGCAGCGACGGTGAGAACAGTGGTAGTGCGCATGATGAACTAAAGCTCCGAAAATTGAGGGGGGAAGGTTGTAAGGCAATGCGACGATCCTGTCGGACGAACGTTGTGACAGGAGGAATAAAACAAGTCAAGCTGAAAGGTGGATGGCATGCTGCATCAGCGGGTGTAGGGACAATGGTAAAGACATATGCATCTTACTATCCGGTACTCGAGCTTGTGGAACGGGGCACACGCAGGTCAACTGGGGCTGAGGAAATGACGGTGGTATGGAAGAGCAATTTATACAAGCAAATCAGGAAGCACGTAAATCGTGGCACGCCATCCGAGCTTATCAGTCTCGGTCTAATCTGGGCTATCCGTGTCTCACTTTGTACACAGCCCCATATTCAATTTTCACCAAACTCGCAGGAGGCTAGTCGGAATTTGGATCACATTCTTACCGTTTTCGTTGATTATTGATTAAAAAAAGATTCTGGGTGAGAAAACGAAGAACATGTTGTAGTGGCTATAGTTATTGAGAAAGTGATTCAACAAAGGTAAGCGGCCTGATCACGTCATTGACCTCTCACTATAGTACTGCTGCTTTCTCGATCTCGTTGCTGTATTCATCTTGGGTTTTTACAAGGTGCACCAGCAAATCTCATACATTTGCGCATATGAACCGTTCATTGACAGCTAGAGCGAGATCATGACGTGCTATAGTCTCCCATTTCCTGCATGTAGGTAGCATTGTTCATAGCTTATAGCCTATTCTAACGCCTACTGCGGGATTCGGATTGTTCTAAATCTTGCGGAAAACTCCCCGGCACCGTAGAATCGGTATACGCCATATGAATAAGCAGGGGCCCACGCTGCAATGTCGGCTTTGCCTAGATGAAACCATTGTACTATTGATATATCATATGATCGTGATCTCCTTGAGCGGGAGCGCGAGAAGGTGGTTCCCGTACCGCAACCGTCCGCGAAGATTGTGCCGCAGCGGGGAGAAGGATTTGGATGTGTTTGGTACGCTCAAGAGGCCATTTTTAAATGATTGGATTGAGTATCCAACAAGCAAGAGCGGGAGGCATGCAGCACAATGCGCTCTTTTTCACGTGGATATTAAATCTGATGTTGGCGGGAGGCTTGCAATTGGATTCCGAGATTGGCGGTAGTTTTTAATAACAAATCGGGAGCGACTGTTAGGCTGCCGGCATCAGCGCTACTGAATCTTCGGCATCAAAGATGCCATTTTTGAGTGCCATCACAACAGCGGAGATCGATCAAAGACAATGCGTCGCTAGGAACAGCCACATCTCGGAGCGTGACTGGGGGATCATTTAAACTCGACTCGCCTATTCGCGAACGTGGGACAAGAGGACGTGCCGTACAATTCAGATCAGTTGTAAACTGTTACATATATTTCTTCTAGATGCATCTGCATGGAGAGTTCAGTGCCTCGTAGTTGGTCCAACGTCGGAGGGCTTTTAACAATATCGTCCAGTCTGGGAAAGACGTTCCACATGGAGCGCGGAGAGAATAAACATACACTATTGGAACAGAGTCTCAACCCAGAAAGGACAGCCCGGTATGCGATTATCGCGAGGAAAGCATTGCAGCAGCAAACACATCGACATACAATCTCCTCGCAAAGCACGCAGGATACCGGAAACACGATCGAAGAGCACATGTGATTCATCCTCCACTGTCATAGGCAAAAATGTCCACAGCGACCTCTCGAGCAATTGGTAGGTACTCATCACAGACATCCGATTTGCAAAGGAGCCATCACTATAAAACAACAGTATAGTGGCAGCTCAAGCAGTACAGTCTGCGACAATTGAGAAGACTCGCATAGAACTTTTCGGCCGACATGGGTTCGCCGACTCAACAGAAGTGTGTCCGCAACGATATGGGCATGCCATAATACACGAACGGGATCCCCGAAGCATGCCATCACATCTGCGGGCGAAGGCCGGGCAAGAATCGAAGAGGCAAGCGCCAACAGGACAGCGAGCCAAAAAGAGTAGCAGCGGTCGCCAAGGATCCAAGTACAAGGCCACGACTCCGCAAGGGTTAGCAGTCAGGACGAGAAATGAATAGCAAACCGCAAGACGAGTCCAACGATGAACCAGGATTAGAGGCCGGTTTCAGGAGATAGCATGGCTATCATGGAGTGGAGACCCACTGCGAGTAGTTGCTGCAGGTGTAGGCTTTGAACGCCGTACAGGTTCTGGATGGCTAGATACATTGCACCGGCAGCTAGACTATAGTAGTTACCGTCTACATAGGGCCCTGCCCTCAAAGACTATAAACAAGACTCACAAACAAACAAACAGGTTCTGGATGGTGTGATACGCATGATCCGCCGCGATCCCGAGGCGTCATAGGAGTCTTGTGTCGAAAAAGAAGACGCTTTGTACGTCGCAAGCTATGCTGGGTATGAACGACTCCAAGCGCCACCAGTTCGTTGTATACACCGAAAAGCAGACACCTGCTAAGTCGAGCAGGACACGACAACACGTGCTAGCCAAAGGAACGAATGGTCATCGTATGCCTGGACATCGTCTTACACTCGATGGAGGTACAACTGACTCATCGTGGCAAACGAAATGCACGAATCTGGCTAGCACTGCATCTGGCCCCCAGTCAAGATATTGCTAGTTCGGATAGGTTGCATTCCATGGATGATAAACTCGACGCCGTTTGTGCTGATTGACGACGATACAATCCAACTATCGCCTGCTGGGGCTTCAAGAGTGGCCACTGCCGTCCGGGACTTATGAAATAAGCTCCAGAGTGTACTCACAGACATCACCCATATACGCGTCGAACCGCCCACCTCCACCTGCGAACTTGTCGTCCCCCTGCCTCTCCCCCTTCCCCATTTTGCTGTGCTTTTCCTCCGCCAAGAATAGGCTCTTACATTTTTATCTTCTTCCAACTGAGGCTCGTCTTCAGTACGCTTCGACCAAGCGCCCCATTAGTAACCTCTGCAAGAGAATGCTTTGCTGAATCCACAAGTCGTCTTCGGGACTGATTTTGTTCAAGAGCTCAAGTTCAAAGTCAGAGTCCAAGACTGAGTAGCTATCGTTATAAAATTGGGTTGGCATCGAGGCGGAAAGAAGACACGTTGCCATAAAACAGTCCGCCGTGCCTGAGCACTGCCGAGTGTTTGCCTTGCTGTTAGCGTCCGAGGCTGCACCACCAGCGCTTCGGAGCGTCTCCGTGTGCAACTATGTATTGGACTGGAATGTCGCAGCACTTCACCGGGCCGCATTTTATCGATTCTCTTTATGGTCTGAGAGCACAAGATTTGGTAGCAATCACTCTCCCAAAACACATTGTTTACCGGCGTTGTACCGCCCAAACGACTGGCACTCGGCGCGAGGAAAGACCCATATATCGCCGTGACAAGTTGGATCAGGTAGCTTTGAATGTCGCGGCCTGCGGCAAAGTAGAACGGCATTACGAAGAAATCGATTATACAGAGCCATCCATTCCCTCTGTTACGAAGTGCATCACTCTTCGTCCTCAATGAATAGAGCTCCCAATGCTGTGTTGACAGAGCTTGGCAACGTGGAGCAAGAGCCTGCTGTATCTTCATTGGTCGTAAGTTGACACGCTAGGTTCGAGATTGTTGACGCATTGACGACTTCTGTTGACTAAGAACGTTGACATTATCCTAAAACAGCGTCAAGCTCTCATCGGGCTACCCCCATGTGTGCGTGTCTCAATCTGGAGTAGAATTCGGACATCGTAGCGGCAAGAGAGTACGTACTGTTTGTATTGTCCAACGTTATTTCGTTTGCCAAGGCCTTACTGGCTGGACACGACGATCAGATGAAGACGGTGAGGATCCTGCATACCGGCGTTAGTAAGTCTTAGTGCTGAGTGCTCCATGATGGGCGGTTGATACTTGCTTCTCTGCAAACTAGCTCAGGAACACGTTCCTGGTGTTCCGAATGCCACTGTGGAGCTGTATGATCCATGACACTATACCATGCGTTTGGGCCGATCGTTGATACTT